CAAACAGGACGAAACAGCTGTCCAGTGCTCTTTGTTGGTTAACACAAACACTTCCATCTATAAGAAGTGGTTTATCAGATCACACGATAAATGGAGTGAGCGCAGCGGGAATAAAGTCCTCTGCTCCAGCTCCAGCTCGTCATAGTAAACGTATGTATAAAACACTTTGACCTTGAGAATTGTGAATTATCTGTAGACCGGATCAGGCCAACCATCATGACACCTTCATTTCCGAAATTCTCATAGGTTTGACCGATCACCAGAGATGTGTAAACAACAAACTCTATTTTAGAGGGAAAAATGCTCCATAAGTTACCCTTAATGATCTTTATATGAGTTCAAGTGAAGTATTTCCCAGAGTGTGAATTCTAATAAAATTATCAATTCTGAACCGGATTGGTCTAGGTATGATGGCATATACAGGGGTGTTACTTGATGAATTTTGCCTCTTTGATTCATCAATTATCTTTGATATGCGCTAATCAGTGAAACTTACTCATACCGACTTTGGGTGCTCTCTAATTCTTCCTTCAAATGAAGATTCTCCTCTATCTGATCGGCCAAGTTTTTGCGGACTTCCTCGTATTTCACTCGGGGAACCTGTGCTTCATATTGAGCTTCAAATTCTATGACTTGAGTTTGCAACTGATTTATTGTTTTATGAGCCTGACTGAATATAAAAAGTATATATTACAATACAAGGTCATTTAAAATCACTTTGATAAAATGATTAGTAGCTTACATTGAGAGTAAGACACGAACCGACATATTTTATCAAAATTGTTTAACATGGTATTTTATGTTATTCTGAATGCGGATATACCTGAGTTGTAAAACAGTATAACCTTTTTCATTACACAATGTGCAATACGGTAAACAAAGAAATCCTCATGGACAAATAACAAACTGTAAGGAGGCGAATAGGGGAACATTCACGTAAGATCCAGTTTATTGATTCTGCGTTTAAAAAGTGTAAGATTGTGAGTTAGGGTAAAAACAACAAGAGGGAGGGTTATCCACAGTTTGGTAGTTCGGGGGGAAAATTGAAGATTGGAGTAGAGAGGTACGACACTTGGGAACAGAGACCTGATAACGGTGACTATCAAGTCTCTGTTCCCAAGTGTCCTCTCTACTCCAATCCTCTTACTTACCGAGTAACACTGAGATTTTCACATCATACTTACTCTAAGGCCAAACGAAGTTTAACAGGATCTTCTGAGTCGTCAATGACTTCAGCACGCGCCAAAGATTCCATTTCCTTCAGTCTGGATGTGAGTTCATTAACCTCACTAACGAGGAGCTTTCTACCATCTGATTCCGTTCTCCACTCATCAGCTTTCTTTTCTAATTCGACAGTCAAGTGATCGACCTAGCAAGTAGACGAAATGAGATATACGGTCATAGTTCTTAGTCAATGCGCAAAACATATTATACCCTACTGGTTAGCTCGGACAGGAACAAAACAGTTGTCCGGTGCTCTATATTGGTCATCATAACTTTTCCATGACGTGTGAAAACACTTTCAAACGGTCAAATTAGCGAATTCCAAAGGCGCGACGCCCACATCAGAACAACAGTATGCAGACCGCGATGTCTGTGTATTCGCATGAACCAAACAAGACAGCTTCTAACCGAAAGCACAAATTCAGCGGTATTAGCTCTTTTTGGTTGAACGAACAATTACCATTACTGTAGAATGGCAGCTTTTAGCGTGTACGACCAACGACAAATCAGGCGGTGAATCGGTCTAGGTGGAGCCATTTTGCTTTCCTTTTGGACCGTGAATTGTCGGTCACTGTTGTCCGAACACATTGAAATATGGTCGCAGATTTGTGTTTTTTTTAAGTTTTCTGATTGATAAATGATATATGCATTGCACATCTTGACGAACCTTTGGTCTAATTTACCTAACTCTGATGTTGAGGAATAGTGTCAAGGCATCAAAAATTATTCTGTACCATTGGTTTGCGGTGTAATTAAAATTCAAATACTTCAACGAACCACATTTGACACAAGTAATGCCCCAGGCAACTTACCATTTATTTTTATTGTGAGTTGTGTTTATGTTTAGCTGGATCGTTTTGGGGCTCATGGCGTTTGTAGTTCCCCACTTCAGTAGTTCTTCAGTTACTCCCCTCACTGAGAACCTCCAATCCGTTGACATTTCCAGACCATTCAGAGACTGGTACTACATTCGGCTGTCTCGAGCATACGTTCATGGGAGATGTCATAGTGTATACACTCAAGCCTAAGCATATCACAATCAGGACTTTCGTCATACTGCCGACTGGAATACACCAAAATGCACCATTCTAAGTTCAGTTTGCAAAACTATCACATTGAAGTGAAAAAAATCATTTCAATTCTGAAATCTGATGATGACACGCTGATGTTGGGTCTGCATTTATTTGACACACCTCGTCAGTCAATCGATCTCACTTTTCTACTCCTGATTGCCCATCAGTTTTACCAGGCTCTTTCTCTGTGGAAATAAGGCAGACCTCAATATTGCGTTTTGTTGTTCTCATTGACGGATATCGGTTCGGTGGATCGGTAAAGCCGTGTACAAAGTACACAAACATTACTCACAAAGATTACTCAAAACCGATAATGACAGTGAGGATGCACTTTCTACTGTGAGCAACAACTGAGACAAAGCTGGTCGTGGCTGTTCGAACCGCAGGTGGATACAGTAACCACAACCAAGGCTAAAGGTAACATGTGTTCCGGGGAACAAGATGAATCATATAGTCATTTTGATCGACTTCCTGTCTTTGGCAATGGTAATGGAGACGGACATGTGTGGAACTATCTCATCTGGTTCATCATACCGCGTTTCTGAACGTGAAACTGAGTCCCCGTGATCCTTTTGGGTCCATCGACACGCTTTTGTGAGTTACTTAACCTCAGGTAATGAAAACTGCAGCATTCCGACTACTCGTTATGGGAAGGGAGGACCACTGGACCATGCGTGCCTACTAAGCTATCACATACGAAAGGAGCGTGGGAAGACAGGTGGACAATCAGGTGTAGAAGAATTCTGATCAGTTGACCAATAAGGTATGCCGAACAAATGCAGATTCAACACTATCAGATTAAACTTATAGAATCAGGTTGTTTTAGCCACAACGTAAATGCCAAAACACAAGGTTCACGTTATGGCTAAAACAAACCTGATTCTATTGTTACCATGAGCACAACGCCCAAATTTTTCGAAATGATCCGGAACACCTATGGATGATTAACTGTTTATCAGATTAAACTTAATTTTCTAAATTAATAAGTAATTTTTCCCATCGAAAGTAATAGTTTCGCAAACTAAACTTCAAATGGTGTAGATGTATGAGAAGCCTTCCAGAGGGACCCAGTCCAAAGAGTGGCAGTAAAGGTAAACCACTTGTCACAAAACAATAAAAAAGAGCCCGTTTCATGAGGTGCTCAGGCGCCCGTATTGTCCTTACTGAACGCAAAAGTCAAATCTAGTAGATATTAGCATTCATACCTGTAGTATCACAACACCGACATCTCCGCTCACCCCGATCTCTCCTTTGCATCAATTCTTCTATTTTCTTGCATTGTTCCTCGATTCACATAATGTGCTACAATTAGCCGGTAGATGAATTGCTGAAAGCAATCTGGCTTGTTGTATAATTTTCTCCCATTGAATATATCACGATAATTTTGTCTCCTCAATAAGGAGTGGCTGTAAACTTCATATGGTAACGAAAAGTTAAAAACGTTCATTTTCGAAAGCTTTTGAATAATAACCAATTATGTGTGTGGATTAATTTTGGTACCTTCAATTAGCTTTGAGTGATTTTACTCGAATTTAGTGAATAGATTGTCCCATAGTCGATAAAACAATTTTACGGATTCGTCATGGTTATTCTGTCAGTTAGAAACATTAAGCTACCCCTAACCAAGTCACTACTGCTAGCCATGGTGCTTCGATTTTCTGCATAAAACTATCTAATCAAAAAAATAACGATAAAATTATCACATACTTCTCACAGAAAATGGGTATATATCAGTGACATACATGAAATCGAATAAAAATTACCATTTCAGCTAAAAGCAAGTTAGGGGATTTGTGTACTCACCTCGCATGTGAGTGACTTCCCCTTCTCAAATAAATGCGAAATTTGTGTCATTAACGCCTTCTTTTCTTGTTTCAGTCTTTTAATATCTAAAGAATGGATTGTAATGATAATAATTGCCCAATTATTGTAATATATTACAGTTATAGAACATTCTATCCTGCAAGAAAATAGTACATCGATGGAATTCTATCAGGCAGTCACTTCCGGAATATTTTATCAGTTCTAAATTTTGAAAAGGAAAGTGAATAGTGACAAAATCTATGTTATAATGAATTACGTGAAATAAACAAAACCTATGTAATAACCTAAATTCGGTGGAACACAGAAGAGGAATTGCTTCCCTGGACTTTGCAGACACCTCTAAGCTACAAACCTTTCTACAACTTGTCCTTTGTCTCCATCTCAATTGTT